ACGGCAAACTCAAGCTCAATACGATGCTTGTCAGCCAACTTTTTCATATGAGTCTGTGCCTTGATCAGATTGAGCTTCAGTAATGCCAAAATTTCATCCCTGTCCACGAAATAATTTTCCACCAACTCACTAGGACTACTACCTCTGATGTAACGAGTTATATTAGGAGGTGGTCTCCCATAAAGAGCTTGAAAGGGAGATATACCAGCAGAAGTCTGGTAAGAAGTGTTGTACCAGTACTCTGCCCAAGGCAACATCGAAACCCACTTATGTGGCGAATCAACAACATAGCATCGAAGGTATTGTTCCACGCATTTATTGAGGGCCTCAGACTACCCATCGGATTGTGGATGGTAAGCAGTACTCATGGCCAAAGAAGTTCCCTACAAGCGATTGATCTCCTGCCAAAAGGCATGCAAGAACCGAGGATCACGATCAGTAACTATGGTCCTTGGAGGCCCATGAAGACGAATAATCCCCACCACAAAAGCTTCAGCAACTGTTTGTGTGGAAAAAGTGGAAGGCAAAGGAATGAAGTGACCATACTTTGTTAATCGATCAACCACCGTCATGATAGTAGACTTTCCCTTTGAGCTCGGTAGGCAAGTGATAAAATCCATTGCAATATCTTCAAATACCAAATCAGTAATTGGCAATGGTTGTAATAAACCCGCCGGACTGGTGATGCACATCCTTCATCTGTTGGCATGTTTGACAGGACACAACAAAACTATGNGGTAGACCCGTTCACATGGCCAAAGTAAATCGTAATGTGGTAAGAGGTAATTTCCACCAGCCAAAGCGTGATATGAAATAGCAGTACTGCTCTTGGACCTCCAAAACTTGCAGTTCCTCAGCCAAAAGATCGTTAGAGACAAAAGGCTCCGGCAATGAAGGTTCAACATCAGACCCATCTGTAAGAAGAAGAAGCTGAGGTGGAGATTTACACTTGTGGCCTGCAGTGATTTCTCCTCACAATAGTAGCATAAGCCTCGCTCACATCGGCTCTGGATCTCAGCATGAGTAAGACGTTTGAGGGGTGGTCGATATTGAGCTTGAGTTGTCGATGTGGTTGGAATGAACGAGGATGAGAAATTTTGATTAGGGCTAGGCAAAAGAGGCACCCCTTTGTTAGCAAAAGCGGGTCGAACTGGACCCTTTTCTGCTTGGATCCTGCGTTCATGGATATAGGCCCACTTAAGTGTGTCCTCATATGTTTTGGGCTCGTGACTGAGAACCGAATTCTTTATGTCTTCCCTAAGCCCAGAAATAAAGAGACTTACCATCAGACCCTCTGAGACATCCTCTGTCTCGTTGGCAATAGCTTCAAATCGTCCTTGTAATTCCGATACTGTGGTCACCTGCCTGAGCTTTGCGAGACGGCCCTCAGTAGATTCGAGACCCTTCGGCTTGAAACGAATCCTCGCCTTCTCCGCAAAATGGTCCCATCCAATTAATTGTTTGTTCCGAAACAACCATCGATACCACTCTAGTGCCTCACCATCGAGATAAAAGGATGCTATCGTAAGTTTTTGTGAATCTTCAATCTTATAAAAATCAAAGTAACGCTCTGCTTGGAATACCCAAGCATCCGGTTTCTCGCCACGAAACCGTCCAAATTCCACTGGAGCTGGTTAACTAATGGATTTAATACACCTCGGGTATTAAGCCACCTAAGGTTAAAATGATGCATGCTCTTAAATGGGTTTTTGTTCAGCTTTATCTTAGGTTGACTAAGAGTGGATTTTCTATACTGGTCTTCTCCCAAGCGGACACCTTGAGAGTGGAAAGCCCGTGACTGTCGATTGCACCGCCGATCGACTTACCCACGAACTTTCCCCTAAAGGTATTTTTTTTTGAAAAGTGCACGGCCGCAAACCACGTAACCCCTAGGTGTGTGCTTTGTGTGAATTTTCCAGAAGTGGAGGAAGTGAAACAGAATGACAATTTAAATAAAGCAATAAGAATAAATAATTCATATAAGATAGTTTATCACATAAAGGCAATTCAAATAAGCATCATAAACAATTACAAACACACAAATTAATTTTTATTAACCTAAGTTTGTTATGGTTTAGAACCTAGAATCCCCAGCAGAGTCGCCATGCTGTTATACCCCATTTTAACACGGGTCAAATTAGAGTATAACATATTGGTAATTCTGAGGTTTATTTGATTAAAGAGAGTCGCCACCTAATTATTTTAATGGTGAATTAGGACACCAATTTTAGCTAAATAATGCTTAAAGTTAACTCCGTTCTATGGTCTACTTAACCTTTAAGACTACGGATAAGGATTCTAATTAATCTTATAGAGAAGGTATTAAGCACTCTATATGACCCATTAAATATGGTTAACCGGCCAAACTTATGTTAATTATTTTATAAAAATTGTTAAGGCAAAGTGGTGNGGTGAATCGTAACCAACGTGGGGATATAGACCAAGATATCATCGAAGAAAACCAACACGAAACGCCGAAGATAAGGCCTGAAGATCTCATTCATTGTCGCCTGAAATGTTGATGGAGCATTGGACAAACCAAACGGCATAACTAAAAATTCATAATGTCCATCGTGTGTTCTAAAGGCTGTTTTGGCTACATCTTCAGTTCGGACCCTGATCTGATGGTATCCGGACAGTAAGTCAAGCTTCAAAAAATATAATGACACTATGTAACTCTTCGAATAACTCATCAATGGTAGGAATTGGAAACCTGTCCCTCACAGTAATGGCATTTAGGGCCCTATAATCCATGCAAAATCTCCATGTACCATCCTTCTTTCGGACTAATAACACCGGAGAGGAGAAGGGACTCGTGCTAGTCCTGATAACCCCATCGTTGAGCATGTCTGCAACTAACTGTTCCCTGACCTGTTTTTGGAAGTAGGGGTAGCGGTAAGGCTTAACATTAATTGGTTCAGCCCCAGGGTTTAAATGAATCGCATGGTCTTGGGACCGAGAAGGTGGTAACCCCTGTGGTTTCAGGAAAACATCGGAAAATTCCTCTAGAATAGAAACCAGGTCTGGATTAGTGTGCTCATCGGCTGAGACCTCATCTTGCACTAATTGAAGGCAGTAATATGAGGATACTGCATCAGTAGCGGCGTACCTACGAAGGCTATGCAATTGGACCGGCAATGCAGTGTTCGGAATGTCCCCTTTCCAACTGATAGTTTTTCCTTGTAAAGTGAACTCAAATAAACGCTCAGCATAATCTTGTACCACCCTTCCCAGAGTAGAGAGCCACGCAGCCCCAAGAACTATGTCAGCACCATGCATAGGGAGCACATATAGATCAAGTATTAGATTACACCCCTGAATCGTGAGAGGTACTTGCCTTACAACGCCTTCGCAACAGAGGCGTTGACCACTGCCTACCATAACAGAGAAGTTGGGAGTTGAATCCACCTTAAGCTGCAAGAACTTAGCCACTCGCGCCTGAACAAAATTATGATCGCTCCCTCCGTCCAGCAAAACTTGGACTGGAGACCCGTTCACATGGCCAAGAAATCGTAATGTGGAAGAGGAATTTCCACCAGCCAAAGCGTGATATGAAATAGCAGACTGCTCTTGGACCTCCAAAACTTGCAGTTCCTCAGCCAAAAGATCGTTAGAGACAAAAGGCTCCGGCAATGAAGGTTCAACATCAGACCCATCTGTAAGAAGAAGAAGCTGAGGTGGAGATTTACACTTGTGGCCTGCAGTGTATTTCTCCTCACAATAGTAGCATAAGCCTCGCTCACGTCGGCTCTGGATCTCAGCATGAGTAAGACGTTTGAGGGGTGGTCGATATTGAGCTTGAGTTGTCGATGTGGTTGGAATGAACGAGGATGAAAATTTTTGATTAGGGCTAGGCAAAAGAGGCACCCCTTTGTTAGCAAAAGCGGGTCGAACTGGACCCTTTTCTGCCTGGATCCTGCGTTCATGGATATAGGCCCACTTAAGTGTGTCCTCATATGTTTTGGGCTCGTGACTGAGAACCGAATTCTTTATGTCTTCCCTAAGCCCAGAAATAAAGAGCCTTACCATCAGACCCTCTGAGACATCCTCTGTCTCGTTGGCAATAAATTCAAATCGTCCCTGTAATTCCGATACTGTGGTCACCTGCCTGAGCTTTGCGAGACGGCCCTCAGCAGATTCGAGACCCTTCGGCTTGAAACGAATCCTCGCCTTCTCCGCAAAATGGTCCCATCCAATTAATTGTTTGTTCCGAAACAACCATCGATACCACTCTAGTGCCTCACCATCGAGATAAAAGGATGCTATCGTAAGTTTTTGTGAATCTTCAATCTTATAAAAATCAAAGTAACGCTCTGCTTGGAATACCCAAGCATCCGGTTTCTCGCCACGAAACCGTCCAAATTCCACTGGAGCTGGTTTGTGCTGGAGAGTGGGTGCCGCCGGTGCGTTATCCTGTCGTGCGACTGCCATTGTTGGATCATGCACTTGTTTACCCACAAATTCCAGTAACATACCACGGATTTCAGCTAGTTCCTTGGAAAAGGAATCTGTCGCTTCCTTACAGATTCATCTACTAGAGCCTTGAGTTGTTTTTGGTCCCCCATCAAAAAGACCTCTGGATGAAAGCACCAATGGAACAATCAAGGAACACTAACCAACCAAACAATTATATTGATTTAATGAAGCACTGAATTGAATCACAACAACTGAATATTCAAAGAAGCCAAATACTGAAAGATAGTAGAAAGGAGATGAGAGGAGAAAAGCAGAGGAAGAGATGAGAAGCAGAAATACAATGCAACACACGCCCAAAACTGTTATGCCCAGCAACAATGATTTGTAACAGATTCCTTATGCTCCAGACGTCGCATAGCACGCACTCCCTCAGCCCATTCTGTTAGCCTGGCCCCACCACAAAATCAATTAATCTTCTAGATGGCATTTTCACACGAGTACTCTTTCTAGGCTGAGTAGGATTATTTTTATCCAACGTGTCATCCTTGCTGGCCTCTATGTCACTATTATCATTCATAACACTCACTGTCACTCTTTCTCTAGGGTCTATCTCTCCATCCACTATGTCACCAGCTACCACTTTCTTCGCCGCCCTCCTCCGCAGGCCCCACCACCACCACCACCTCTGCCGCGGTCTCTCAACACATTCACAACCGCCTTCCATCGAATACTCACTCACCCACCCAATCTACACCATATGGGCCGCGAACACTTCCCTTGGCAAAACCCTGGTCTCCGCCGGGCTTTCCACTTCCTTCCTTTCTTCCTCAAACCGCAAATTTCTCTACTTGAAGCCTGTCCAAACAGGTTTCCCATACGACTCTGATTCCCGCTTCGTTTACAACAAATACTCCCAATTTTTCTCCTTAAATAAACCTGAATTCTCCGTCTTCGCATCGAATCACGTGCTCAGAGCATCCGTTCCGGCTTCGAATGCCGTTGTTAAGGATGAAATGGGGAGAAGTTGTGGGAATGGGGTTATGAATTTGGGGTTTTACGAGGAGAGTAGGTTGCGAGGGACGAGTGAGAATGGGGAAATGATGAAGGGGTTTTCGATGCTAGTTTGTAAGACAATGTACGGGTGGAAAGAGGCATTATCGCCACATTTGGTGGCGGAGAGAGAAAATGCTAGAGTAGAAGATGCTGAGTTGTTGGAGATGTTGAAGGCTTGCTTAGAAATTGATAAACTGGAAAGTGGTGAAAAGGGTGAGGTTTTTTGTGTGATCGAGACTGCTGGTGGCGTTGCTAGTCCTGGACCATCTGGTTCGCTTCAATGTGACTTGTATCGGTGCGTGGTTCTTTGAGTGTTCCTTCAAAAAATATTAACTTTCTATATGCCAATAGGATTAACTGCTGAAAAATGAAGTATTTATGTAAAAATTTGATTCTGTAATTGAGAATATATTTGGAAGGATACATCCAATACGAAGCGTACACGTGTTAGTCCTCATCTTGAAAAATAAAAACATACATTTGGTGAAGCTTCGACTTGGTGGAAGTATAATGAACTTAATTGACTTGGTGGAAGTGTCATGAGCTTGATGCTAAGAGTGCTGTAATATCAAGCCTACTTGACATGTTATAGTTGCTTGTACATATGTGAGAAAAAACAGAAATATCAAGCCTCCTTGATAGTGTTATAGCTGCTTGTACATATGTAAGCAAAAGCACAAATGTAGAATCTAGTCAGTTACCTAGGTTAAAAACCCAGCTTACATTCCTAACAGTGATTAGCACTATTCCTTAAAGGAATGTTATTGGTGACCAAGTTAGAGAGATGCCTTTTGAGAATAGGCAACCTCTCAACAAGGGCACTATGTCAGTATTGATCCCTCTGACTACTTTTTGTTGAATTGAGTTGGCAAAGGGGATTACTTGACAAGAAAAATTACAGAGGAGGCAATGTGACTGTCAAGACTTCTAGCGTAATATAATGTTTTCTAGCTATCTTCTCTTGTTTTGAACCCCTAAAGTAGCAATCCATGGTTACAGACCCACTAGAGATGCAAAGAGTCAAAGTTCGCTAAGCTACTTCACCTTTCAAGAAGGGATCATTGGAAAACTGAAGACAAACAATAGAAATGTGCTTAGCTGTAGGATACATGCTACTCACACTGTTCATTGTTCAAAACTAAGATGAATAAGAATTGCAGAGGTGGATTCTCAACCTTATAATGGTGCAAGGAAGATCTTCCTTTATTGGTTATCAAATCATCTATAATTGAATACTTGCTTGGGAAAGTCCGTAGAGAATTAGACATATTTCAAATAAAACAATATTAGTATCTTTTACTCTTGTAAGCAAATACTTTAGAGACTACAACATTTAAATTTCAAATGTAACAGCTTCTTTCTTTTTGTTGGCAGATTTCCTTTATTTCAATATTACTTTCTGCTTTTGCAGACCTTTCCGGTTCCCAGCTATTCTTGTCGGCGATGGAAAGCTAGGGGGTATTTCAGGAACTATTTCAGCCTATGAAAGTTTGAAACTTCGAGGTTATGATGTTGTTGCTGTAGTAGTTGAAGACCATGGCCTAGCTAATGAGGGTCCTTTATCATCTTACCTGCGGAGAAGGTGAATCTAAAGTTGTTTTCTATTGGCTTAAATGTGTCTTTTGTATTTTAGTTGAAGATATAGGTGGTTTAACACCATAAAATAGGCACTGTCGCTTTTACATTCTAATGCTTCAGTTTAGAGACTAATGTATAGATGGGTATATCATCCAATCTTGTTCCATGTATTTTCACTGTGAAACAAAAGGAGCAGAAAGCTTATTTCCTTGGCTGACAGGGTCCCCGTGCTTGTGCTTCCACCTATACCGAAAGAGATGTCAAATAACCTAATGGAGTGGTTTCAAGAAGCAGTGTCTACTTTTCATTCTCTTCAAGAAATAATGCAGTCAGCTTTTCTGGAGAGAGCATCTAGATTACGCAACATGCCAAGGAAGGCACATGATATTTTCTGGTGGCCCTTTACTCAACACAAACTTGTACCAGAAGAAGATGTTACGGTTATAGATTCACGATGTGGAGAAAACTTTGCTGTGCACAAGGTTGTGAATGTTACTTAAAGTTGTGAAAATGGTTTTGTTTCTTGTCATCTAGCATTTAGTTCATTTCTATAGTACTTTTAAAAGCTCATGCTCACAGCCAATACTAAAAAAAGTGTGTGCTAAAGCTCTTTGACTGATGCATATCTACATATTAGTGATAGTGTTCTTGCTGATATTGTTCTAGTTTTCTCTTTGATCTTCTTTATGATGTCATAACTGTGTCCATCTATCTGCTATATCTACCGGGAGAGGAAAGAATATTTACTATTCTTTTCCTATGCTGCGTGTTACCGTTCCACTTACACATTGGTTAATTTAATGCTTTTACTGTAGGTTAATAAAGTTGATTTAATCACCCAACAATTTGATGCTTGTGCAAGTTGGTGGACGCAGGGACCTGATGCTACTTTACAGGTCAGTCTGTAGATTCGTCCTTATTAGTTGCAATTTAGCCTACCTTTATGATTGTTTTATAGCAAATCTCTGTTACCATTCTGTGGCATGTGCATGTTTGTGTTCGAATAGTGAATAAGGAGAATGAAGATGTCTATGATTGGACACTACGATTTATGGGAACAATTTTCTAGGAGAGTAGGATGTAACACCTTGTGATTTAACGCAATTGTAATTTGAATGCCTTAAACCTTGGTGCACTCAAGTAGTCCAATTCATTTTTGTGCAAGTATTTTTTTTTTCAAATGTACGAATATAGCTGCAATGTCTGGTTTTTCTTTTACCTTTTCTTTTTAATTAGAAAATCCATTATGTTATCACCTTGTTTGGAAAATATTAGTTCATAGTACATTTATACAACATTTCTTATCTATGTGGAGTAAGGAGTCTTTCCAAGTAAGAGGGGTTTCCTGTTATAGGAACTGACTGCGTCTAAGCCAAGCTTTATCAGCTAAGGCAATGAAGAAGCCAGTAAACCAGCTAGCTTGAAGATCTTAGGCCTTTCTGATCTTGTCCCTCATAAGATCCACTCAGGAATAGTATTAATAATACTTATCTTGCTTGTGAGGGAGGTATATGTGGGATTGTCTACATTTTTATCTTAACAATAAGAGAATGCGACAAATTCGACAATTAGGTAGATCAAACTTCCATCATGGTGTTTCAGATTGATCTGACATTTTTATTTCATATTTTAATTATAGCAGCAATTCATTCTACAAAGGAGTCCTTTTGGATGATTATGGGTCATATGTGGCTAATTAGGATTGTCAGATGGGGCATGCTGTAACTCCATTTTGCACTGTTTGTCTTTAGATGGTTTCAGATTGAGCTTGCAAGAGATGTGGGTTACGCTACTGCTAGATATGGTCATGTAATGTTTCCTGAAAATGTCTATGAACCGGCTCTGGAATGTGCTGAACTTTTGCTTGAAGGCGTGGGAAAAGGTTTCTCTTTCAAACCCTGTCCATGCATGCATTTCATTTCTTAGGGACATCTGCGAACTGGGGCTTAATCAATGTTCTTATCTTTGAAACTATGTATTCTCCATGAGATAGCATATAGGAGAGGAAATCTCTCTTATATTTCATTTAAGTTTTTGTAGTTTCTGCTGATTACAGTTCTTTGAGGGACCATGTTGCAAATTTATGCAGCAATTTTGTCATGTGGTAATTTATTGACATCTTTATCAATGTGTAATTTGCTTTAGCCTACATGTTTGGCAAGAATTCTAACTATCAAAACATGAGCTGCTGAACACCACTTGTCAGGTGTAAGGAATGCATTGATCTAACTTTTCTGCTTATATCATTTTTTTCTTACTAAGAACTCAGAGAAGTGTTTGAGCTGTTATAGGCTCAAACATTCTGTTAGTTCACTTGATCGCTGGATCAGATAAACCTACTAATCAGGACAGTTGACAGCTCTCTTCTTTATATAAAGGTTAATTTCTGCACGTGACTTTTGTACCAAACACTAGCAGAACAGAATATCAGGATCTCCTCCTCAAACTCAAAGAGAAAGTTGAAGCTCAAGAATAGAACTAGTTGTTCTTCGCTTGTGTTATCTGCATAATTATAATCAACACTTTCTGGCAAAAGAGTAGTGCTTTTTCTGTCTGTCTTTTAAATTTTTTGCTGACTTTTACATTTGTTCCTGCCTAGCTTTGCCTGTCAGTTTTTATCTATGTTCCTGCTTTGTGGTTCAGATGCTTAAGTTTACAGTTGACACCAATGCAACACATCTTAATGCAGCCTAAACATAGAGCAAATGGTCTTTTATGGATTTTTGTCAACAATTCCTGTATGCTTGTTCATTAACCTTGAAAAACTAAATCTACATGATGTCCATACAAGAAGGATACTGAATTCCTTTTCTTTTATTTCTTTCCAATTGTCCAGATGGGTATTTCTTAGATTTTTTGCGGTCCAAAGTTTTAGTTAGGCCGTGTCCAAATCTTACGAGATGGTTGCAGCAAGTGTTCAGTTGTGTGCCATTTGACTGTGTTTCGTGTTTGGTAGTAATGTAGTATGCCTTAATTATGTTAAAATACTTCCAGACTGCACTAAGATTAGTTTTTGAACAACATTGTTTTGATAGGGTGGGCTTCAAGAGTGTACTTTTCAGATAATGGCTCTACTGCAATTGAAATTGCTCTTAAAATGGCACTACGGAAGTTCTTGTTTGATCACAGAGTTATCTCTGATGATTTGGTGGCTGAGAGTGCTGAGAGTCGTGTGGATCTAAAGGTTGGTCTACTTAATGTCCTCCAAGTAGTAGTGCTTTGTTTTACCTGCTGACTTGATGATATTGATTATTAAGGGTGTGACAGCTCTGGCGACTCTGCTGGGGAGCGAACCCAGAATCTCTGGTTCAGGGTTCAGAATTCGAGCTTAGAATAACTGTGATACTTGACTTATGTTTTTTATCTGATTTTTTGACGTGTTTGAGCCTAATGTGCTAAATGCCGCTTTTTACCGCTTTGATATTATTTGAACTGTATATAAAAATGTTACGACACCCTTCTTCTCTCTGAGTCTTCTAAATCTTCTGGAAGCGTGCGCTTCGCGTGGCTTCTTTTCTAGTAGTCATACCCTAATTTTAGAACGAGGATCGGACAAGCTGCTGTATTCCCGGTACGCTGCCCCCCTCTCGGCTCGAGTTGTCCGCTCGGGTAAGCTAGGTCTAGAACAATACACCCAGGATCTAAACTTAGTATGACATAGCTTCATGTCGGATCCCTAGTAGGTACGTTTGTTTGCATCACGTGCATTTGACTTTGGGGACTCAACACAGGGGTTCTGGACTTGAACCAGAGACCTCGCCCGTGAAGTAAATCATCGCACCTACGGTCCAACCAATTGGGAGGGTCCGTCTAGGACAGGTGTACCCAAATGAAAAGACCATTCTGATGCATTTTAACGTGCTACTTGTGCATTTATTTGTTTCGGCTTGCATGTTGATCGGCTTCTAGAATAGAGAAGGAAAATCAAGAAAAACCAAGAGTGAGGAGAGAGAAACTTACCCGGTTCTGAAAAATTCAGGTATTTGTAAAATCTCGAAAGTCTGCCGAAATTTTGAAAAAAATGAAAAAGAAAGTCATTTAAAAAATAAGCCAAGTATTTTCAAAAAGTCATGTTTTTCAGTTATGTCAACGCTTACCGAACTATGCGGATCTGATTCTCACCGGATGTGAGATACGTAGGTAACCCTTATCAAGCCCGGCCTCACTTTTGAAACATGATCATCACCCGGGGCCGTTCTTGTCGAAATAACCTTAAAACGTTCTCCTGGGACGTCGGAAGGCTGTTTTCGCAAGAATAGCCTCAATGTAAACCCAAGTCAGTCTTTTCTCCTATAATCAACATCAGTTGGCAAAAACAGCCCTAAAAACTTTCCTCAAGTGCTGAAGGGCTGTATTTGCAAAAACAACCCCTGTTTTGTTACGGAGTTTACTGTTTTGAATTTTCAGAATTAACCACTTTGTGTTTTTGGAAAATGTGTCGGTTTTGATCATTTGTTCTCAATTTGCGTGCAGAATGAGAACCGTTGAGTATGTACCTTTTCGGGTCGTAGATGAGATTCCGTTAAGACTCCACATGTGGTGGAATGACCTAGGGGAGGTCAGCAATCGTTCTGTGACTAAAGCTTTAGGTGGGCTCACCGGTCTTCTGAAGATTAAGCACAACGTTGATCTAATTGAGGCCCTGATACCATTTTGGGACCCGGCACACAATGTTTTCCACTTCTCCAACTTTGAATTGACCCCTACGCTGCAGGAGAAAGCAGGTTACGCTGGTTTCGATGGGAGTCTTAGGCACCAATATCTAGTAGCACCTAGAACTGTGACCTCTCATAAATTTTTGGACCTTCTGAGCATCAATCGGCAAGTTAAAAAAAATAATTTGGCCAAACCGGTGGAATGGGCTGGGACAGGATCCACCCTTTTTCTTTGCGCTCATCAGCTCATTTTCTGTCGGCCTCTGTAGCTCGGAAACCCACACCGAAAAACTTCTCATTGGCGATTGAAGTAATAGGCTCTGTGATGGCTTGCAGAAATACCTCGAGCCCCTTTCCGGGCTTGTACCATGTCTAATCATTTGAGTGGCGACCATGACCGAGGCATTAGACAAGCAAGGTTGAGGTAATAGGGCCCCTTCTTCACATTGGTCGGCGACCACAATCTTGAAGGCCTGGTATACAATATGCTCGCTGCCTTCTCTAGCTTCAAGGCACAAGGCTGAAGGGTCCCGGTAGATGGATTGCTCGTCCTTTCCATGGACAACAATTTCTTGATTATCATATTCAAATTTGACCATTTGGTGAAGATTGGAGGGAACAACTCCGGCAACATGAATCCATGGTCTTCCCAAGAGGAAATTGTATGAGGTGTCCATGTCCAAAACTTGGAAAGTCACCTCAAAATCCACGGGGCCGATAGTCGAAATCAGATCAATTTCTCCTATTGTCTCTCTCTTGACCCCATCAAAAGCCCGTACGCAGACGTTAGCTCGGATTCTTTCCGTTCCAATCTCCATTCTCTTGAGTGTTGAGAGAGGGCAAATATCGACCCCAGAACCACCATCTAGCATCACTCTCTTCACATAATAGCCCTCACATTTGACAGTCAGGTGAAGGGCTTTGTTGTGGGCGGCTCCCTCTGGGGCAAATCATCGCGGCTGAAAGAAATCCTGTTGACCTCAAAGAATCGTTTAGCCATTCTCTCCAATTGTTCAATAGAAGTGTCAACTGGGACATATGCTTCATTCAGCGTTTTAAGGAGCACTTTCTGGTGTTCGTTCAAACTCAGCAGCAGAGATAAGAGTGAGACCTGAGAAGGCGTCTTCCGGAGTTGGTCAACTATTGCATATTCTGAAGTTTTCATTTTTCTGAAGAACTCTTCTGCTTCCTCACTGCTTGCATGCTTCTTGAATGGCAACCGTTTATCCCTGTTCAGTTTGGACTTCTTTAACTCTTTTGGGCTATGGTACTTCCCAGACTGATTCATTTCATTCACTTCTCCCATGACCTTTTTCCCCTTGTATGTAACAACTGTTCTGTTGTAATTCCAGGGGACTGCGGTGGGAGCTTTCATGGGGCTCTGTGGTGCGCGGCTGATAACCACGGGCTCAGTCAGCCTTGGTGAAACTACCGGCTCCCGCACCACATAGGTCCCCTTTGGCACATACAATCTTGGCACATTCGGCGTAGCCTTCCTTTCCTCGAATTTTTTGGGAGTGTTCAGGATGAGCTGCTCTTTTCTCGGGGCCTTCGAAACATAGAGAATCACGTTCTTAGCAGGTGCTGCCCCAGTCTTTGTTTCATCAGCTTGATGAACCGGAGTGACTTTCTTCTCGGTTTTGGCTTGTTTCACAGCTGCTTTGGGTCTTGCCTCTGAATCGGCGATGGCAATGATGGCTTTCAATGCTGGATTAAATTCCTTGTCGTCACAAACCATTCCAATGACCGGCCTATTGTTGTGAGCCGGTAATGGATTGTTGGTCACATTAGGGACTTCCTCGTCCCTCGGCACAACCGCACTTTTGAGGGTCCAACAGTCTTCTGTATCATGGCCCTCTACTCCTGAATGGTAAGCACACCTGGTACCGGCCCGGTATGATGAGGATTCGGGATTTTGCCGATTTGGAGGTACAGGTTGCAACCTGGGTCAACTTCTGGAGCAAACTGGAATAAGATTCACCAATAGGGGTGAAATTGTTTCTCCTGGGAGCTCACGAGGGCATGGGTTGTGTTGATGTGTGTTTTGTGGTGGAAAGGGGGGGGGGTTATACAGGGCTTGGTAGGGATGGTCTTTCTGGGAAGTGGAGCTCGAGCTTGATTGTAATGCTGCTGTGCATAAGGTTGGGCATTCATCACCGTATAGTGAGGCGGTGCCACGGCATAAGCTGCATCTTGGTGTGGATAGTAGTGTTGTGGGGTTCTTGGCGACATGTAAGAGTGATCAAATGATCGTCGGGGCCCTCTTGAACCTGAAGCCATCATGGCTCCCTCCTCCCTTTTTTTACGATTAGCCAAACCCCATGAGTCGTTCTGGATGGCTTGGGAGGTAGCTTTCAAAGCAGCTTGACTCAATATCCGGCCAGTCTTTAGACCGTTCTCTACCATTTCCCCGATTTTGATTGCCTCCGCAAATGGTTTGCCCAAAATATTTTCCAATTTTTCCATGTTTGGTTGGCTTAAATGTTACATTTGGAAAATATTTTCCTCGTGAACTCATTTTCCTCCAATTGGAGGAAAATATTTTCCAAAACTCTTTTCCAAACTTTCCCTCATTCCCCATCCTCACCGACCCCTACCAACCCACCCCCACCCCAACCCCAATCCACCCTCGCCCCACCTCTACCCACCCCACCCTTCCCCATCCCCACCCTAATAGTACTTTCTTTTCATGTTATAGATAGAGATTTTTTTTCCGAGTATTTTCTTTTCACGATATAATTTTTTTTCATTTAGCAAAAAAAAGTACTTTCTTTTCGTGATGTAAGAAAAATATTTTCTTTCATTTCAACAAAATAATGTAGTAAAAAGTATTTTCTTTCATTTCAACTAAATGATATAGTAAAAAGTATTTTCTCTTATTGCAACAAAAAGAGTATTTTCTTTTCGTGATGTCTTTCATTTCAATAAAATGAGCACTTTATTTTCATGTTGTAGAAATAGTACTTTCTTTTTCAACAAAAAAAAGAGTGTTTTTAGTTATGGAGCACAATTTTCAACGTTGTTTTTGCGTAAAAAAGTAAAGCAACACATTAGTTCCTTTGAGTTTGTGTAAATTTTTAGAAGAATAATTAAATTCTGGAAGAAAATAGAAT